CCAAGGATGAATTACTGACCCCGCCCAGGATGCAACCCCACTACAAGCTGACTAACTCACTAAGTATTTACTTATTGCTAGGTGAACAGGGGCATAAGGTGAAAGGAAATGTGCTCAACCATTTCTGTCCCATCCGGGATTCGAGCTCAGAATTTTCGACTGTGCGTCGAGAACGAACCCGACTGTACTACTGGGACCCCTGATAATATATAATGTATTATATAATACATTATTATATTTTATAATATAATATATAATGTATTATATAATACATTAACGTTGGTTAATGCATTATATAATTATATTCTTATATAATTAGGACTACCTTTAATGCATTATATAAGAATATTGTCATGAAGTATCAGCTTTCTATGATACTATGGTGAAATAAACAAGACCCAAACCCACAAGCAAGGGAAAGATAAAGTTCAATGACCCGACTTAATTAAGCCCAGGCATGAGGGCTTTCTTATCTTAGCTCAACACACAACGACAACTGCTGCCCTCAACATATATTTCTTAATGCCAGTCGTGATCAAGTTTAAAAAACAAAACCCCGCTGCATAACCCACTGGTAATTTTTTGTTTGCAATGCATCAATCGTGCAACATCCTAGTCCCATATATAGAGGAAGGGAGGCAATTATCAGTGGAAAGTGGATGTTGTTGTTGTTATAGATTCAGCTACTCGGAACAAGTTCCAAGTAGCACGGGCTATGGTGAGCCCGTAGTGGACTTACCGGGCACAGGAGCGGGGCTGAAACTTGGGAAAGTGGAAAGCCATTACGACTATATAGCACTTAGAATGGGTCAGGATAAGGATTTGAGATGGGACGGGGGGAAAGGAATGGTGCCCAATCACTTGGACAGTCGGAGATTGAACGCCAACTTGCATGAAGCGTGACCGTCTATCTACCGTCCAGTCCAAGCGGTTGGACGTCCCAGATGAACACCGATTTTTTTTTAATCGCTTCCCAACATTCCTCAACTTGCTCACCACTCACCTACAGACTACACTGACGTGTGTTGCTCCAACAACATTCAAGCCTGCCCCTGGATATACATAACCATCTTGCTAGCACCAACGAGCAGCCGTGTCCAACAGCTTGGTTGACCAGTCCAGCAACAGGCCTGGTTGGGGACCGGGCCGCGGAGACCTTGAACCCCGAAATCATAGCAAGGTAACCAATATAAATAGTAACTTCAACACCGAAATTACCTGTAGTGAAATAGGTACAGATGATAATTATGACATAATTCCCTTTGAAATAACTAATGTACTCGCACGTCTAATGCTACTTCTTGTGGAGAGGATGGCATGTAACATACAATACCACGAGAGCACTGGCTGAACTGCCAAATTCTGCTAGTCCTCTGCTAGAACTGTTTAACTAAAGCCTGAGGCAGGGTATCTTGCCCAACCGCTGAACACAGGGTCACACAATACCTATACACAACTCAAATTCGCAAAACTCAGACCAGTTCTGAGGATGACCAATTCTGACATCCTGCACATGCAAGGTGTCAGACTCTCTTGACATCCTGCATGTGCAAGGTTCTTGTGAAGATTATACTCCCTCGCTCCCAACACAATCGACTTGATAATGGCCAGGACCGTAACGTCGTCGTCTCCCCATCCTCTGGTGCATGGTGTGGTCATTATATTCCACAGGTTTAAGGAATGTTGGGTTCAAGCTCCCGAACCTGCAATCACAGTACGTCTCTCTAAGCCTTCTGCCACAGCCCAGGATATAATGGGTAGTTGCGGCCCATAACATATTATATATATATATATATATATATATATATATATATATATATATATATATATATATATATATATATATATATATATATATATATATATATATATATAAATAAATTCGTTAATGGTAATGCTTATTAAACAAGAATTAACAGTTTATTTCCGGTGTAAGAAAGCAGGAAAAAAACACACGTCCCACAATCTGCTGATGTAGCTTTTAACCATCCATGTTCATCCGGTAGTCACAGGATCCTGTACTTTGCTATCAATTTATTTAGCGCCTGCTATTGTTGTTGTTGTTTTAGATTTAGCTACTCAGAACGAAATGTCCATGTAGCACGGGCTATTATGAGCCCGTAGCGTCTGCAACTACCTCTCTTTTTTTATATTTGTTCTGTAGACTAATGCTACAGCTGATTCGAGGGCCAATACGAGCGTCTAATGAAGCAGATATGTCAGGTGCAAGCCAGTCATAGTGGGGGTCTGCCTCTGTCCTGCCATTACCCGCCCGCTTCACTTTGGTAACTCACAACCACCAGCCCACCACTACACTAACACTCACATACAACCACCAGCCCACCACTACACTAACCCTCACATACAACCACCAGCCCACCACTACACTAACCCTCACATACAACCATCAGCCCACCACTACACTAACCCTCTCATACAACCACCAGCCCACCACTACACTAACCCTCACATACAACCACCAGCCCACCACTACACTAACCCTCACATACAACCACCAGCCCACCACTACACTAACCCTCACATACAACCACCAGCCCACCACTACACTAACCCTCACATACAACCATCAGCCCACCACTACACTAACCCTCTCATACAACCACCAGCCCACCACTACACTAACCCTCACATACAACCACCAGCCCACCACTACACTAACCCTCTTATACAACCACCAGCCCACCACTACACTAACCCTCACATACAACCACCAGCCCACCACTACACTAACCCTCACATACAACCACCAGCCCACCACTACATTAACCCTCACATACAACCACCAGCCCACCACTTCACAAACCCTCACACACAACCACCATATGACAACTATTAGTCATTATTATTATATTAATGACCATTAATATATTATATCATTATTATTATATTTCTTGGTCATATCAAACTGTATGCACTGATCATGTTAAAATTTTTAAAATCTAATCATAATACTGTACTTACCATACCTAAAAAACAAAACTTTGATATTATGAACTTTTCTCCAGAGACTTTATGCATCATGTGTTGATGGACAAGTATGTTGTTGTTGTTGTTGTTTCAGATTTAGCTACTCAGAACGAAGTGTCCATGTAGCACGGGCTATGGCGAGCCCATCATGGACAAGTATGTGTGATGTGTTCTTATAGGAGAGTTGTAGGAGAGGGGAAAGAGCAGGAAGGGGGTTGGAAAAGAGCAAGAAGCAGGAGGGGGGGGGGGGGGAAGAGGAAAGAGAAGATGAGGAGATAAACAGACACAGGCACTGCTAGGTATCCTTTCTAGTACAGTATATCTGTTCAAGGTTGAAGGCCAGATGCTTAGGGCTAGCATCACCCAATTTTCAATGGTAATTGGGTGGGCAGAGTTTGTCATAAAATAAATGAGTGTAACTTGACTCAGTCTGAAAGTCTCCCACATGATGAACCTTGCGACAGACAAAAAGAAAAAAAAGAAAAGAAAAAAAAAGAGAGAGCACGAGAGGGGGTCCTGGTCAAGTATATTTATATAACCTTTAAGATATCTTACGTACGTTGCCCTAGGAAAAGTTCAAAGCAAAGTTTGAGAATAATAATTTTCTATATTTTGGAAGCATAAGCAATTAGAAAATAACACTACCCACAGACATAAATTGTGTTATACTATGCAAGCTAGCTGGTTGTATTTAATAATTTCCCTTGTGCTAATATTATTGTTTATGAAATAAAGTAACTAGCCCTCTCATTGATTTAGCCAAGCCAATAGATTGAATTTGTCTAATAAGAATCATAAATGAAATTAGTGATTCAGTCCTGGATGTCCAATACCAGAGATAATTAGCAAGCTGGATTTTGAATTTACCAGAGGGCCACTACTACTATGCTTCTACCGAAGGGCAATTTTTTTCCCTATTCTTTGTTACGTGCTAGTGATTCATTAGAGCTTGGTGTGTCACCTGGGTTTAGAGGACTCCAATTGAGTTGACAGGGAGATACAGAGGGAAGCCACACAAGAAACATTAATTTTTTAACATTTTGATACCTAAACATCAATCATTTTCAAACAGAAAAGTTTAAACATTTTACATATTGATCACCAAGAGATTGAAGTGGATGGTTCAATTTGGACAAGAAAACAAGCCTCACTCCTGGAATGCATAAATGTTAATACTGTACTGTAATATTTAGCAGTTTTATATTTTATGACTTTTAAGGTACAGTATAACTTGTATTCATTTCATGAGTCATCAATAATCTTATTAAAGTTAAAATTCACAAGAACCTTCTGTTTATTATATCCATCATTATTACAGATAAAAACCTCTTTATAAAACAAAAGCCTTCTGTGGGAGATTATCACATCTGTTTCTCTATCTCTACCGACTTACTAATATAGAGCAATCTGACGCTATCTTGAGATGATTTCGGGACTTAGTGTCCCCAAGGCCCAGTCCTTGACCAGGCCTCCACCCCCAGGAAGCAGCCCATGACAGCTGACTAACTCCCAGGTACCTATTTACTGCTAGATAACAGGGGCATCAGGGTGAAAGAAACTCTGCTCATTGTTTCTCGCCAGCGCCCGGGATCGAACCCAGGACCACAGGATCATGCGTCCAGTGTTCTGTCTGCTCAGCCACCGGCTCCCTAAATCAAGTCTTTTGTTTTCTACACTTTCTGGAAAGATTTTTATGCTACAGTATATAATTAAGAAACTCACATTTGATAGATTACAGATTCATCTTAAAATCCACCTGTGAACATTTTCAATGTACATACTGCATTGCATTATTATATGATACCTATATATTTTGTATACAAATGAATAAGCATCTATTCATTTGTATACAATGAATAGGTGCTTTTCAGGTTACATATTATTAGGTTAATACTTCCTTAGGTTACGATATAAGCATACCTAAGACTGCGAGCCCAAGACTGCTACTGGCTCTACAGTATAGGTAAAGTATAGAAAAGAAAAAAAGACTAGGTAACTTAAAACATTCAATCATTAATTCAATAATTTATTTGATTTTTATCAACTGTAGATTTGAACTATTAAACCTAAATGACATATTTTCATAAAATATATAAATATTATTTCACTGTTCCAAAGTTTACACAAGGTATTTATATTTTAATCATGGCAGTTTTGCAATAAATATTATATATTTCACTTGCTACAAAATAAAATAAAAAAATTATCCATCTTTCTTCTCGTAACCAAACTTTTTGTTTTTGTTTAGAAAGATTGTTGAGCTCTCTTTTGAACTTTCTCAATATTTTCCACAGAATTCAGCTGTTCAAGAGTTAGAAGCGATACTCCTAACTGATCATCTCGAGTGAACGGTTGAGCCATCTGTCTTAGCCATGGCCTTGTTACCTGTGAATAGAAAGATATGGATGACAGAAACTTTGTCACCGATACATGAAGGATTCAAAGAACCCAGAATTAATGTTGACAAGTATTATTAAGTGGTGTCTTAATTCCTGTATTTGTGAATGTAAATACATAAATAAAGGTAAAATAAAGATATTCAAGATACAGAAAGAGAAAAGCAAAAGTGATGCAAACATTAAACAATCAGTCAGTCCATCACAGCACAAAAGTTGGGAATACAATATAGATGTATTTCATTATGCATACATACATTCCTACATATTTATTGATTCATACATATGATAATTTAGACATTCAAGGTCAACACTGAAAGTGTCTGGCTCAGGCAGTGTGTTTTACTGATTGACGTCTGTCACTCAGTAAAACAATTAATTGATTGACCACATCAAATTCTAAACAAAAACTTTAAATCTCACCTGTACAGCCTCCTCTGTAGAAAGATTGCATTTACTATCTACTAAATGTTCTTGAATCCACCGTGGCAATTTACTTCGCTTATCTGACCTTGAAAAGCGCTTGTCTGCGAAGAGCATTATACCATAATCTGTCTTTCCCCGCATAACTCGTCCAACACACTGAGCAGCGTGACGCATGGCATCGAAAGTCAGAAAGTCACTTTCTCTGATCTGTTGAACAATACAAAAGTTGCACAATGAAATCACAATAACACAAAAAATCAGAGAAAATACTTGGAGTAATGTAAAAATACCTCAGTAGCTCCCTGGTGCACTGACCCTGGCACCACAAAAGGAAGCTTCTTGACTTGCACTCACCTACTGATCAGCAAGGCTCTGGAGGGGGTTGAAGCAAACCAGGCTGATCTTGGGGAAAGGAACCTTATCACAGAGTAAAATGCAATGCTAGATCATGTGTAATGTGGGTGGCATAAACAAAATCATGAAATAAATATAAACAAAAGACTATGGTCCACAGAGGACTGTAACATTCCAGGGTAATCCAACACCTGGCCTCAGATGGGCCAAACCGGGCAGATGAGTAGTGAAAGGGCAGGCTGGCTTGAAACTATGGTAACCTGGGATATCATTTGGTGATGGGCAGGTGCATCATGGTTAGGGTATTTACCCCAAAACAGTGATCACTTGCCTAATTTCCTTCCAGTAGTCACTTGTTTTGTTATACCTATGCCTTCTGGTGTTTTCTTCCAATTTTTAATCTGATCTCCAACACTACTTCTCTTGGCTGATCAAGAGGAAAAGTGTGCCATATTCTATCTATGGCTTCTAGTAGGCTATAGATGGGAGTGTTGGGTTAAGGCTTGGCAGTACCAGAGTTAAACTCAGGAATCCACTGAGGAGGCCCCTTACAGAAATCTACAAAACAATGAAACCATAAGGTATCTCCACCACTAAAACCTAATAATCAAGTCTGATGTAATGTACTTACATTAAACTGGTCACGAAGATACTCGAGCCTGGCCTTCAGAATCCTGCTTTGTGTAAACATGAAAGGGATTCCCATCATAATGACACATCGTCCATAATGGTGGTCAAAATCTATCCCTTCTGACACTTTACCTCTTGCAACGGCAAGCAAAATTGCTCCTCGCCCTCTATCACAAGCCTGGAAACGAAAATTGTACCTGCTAATTTTTAAGGCACTAAAGTTAAACTTCAATTAATATTAATAGGTAAAATATACAGCTCTATCAAACTACCACCTGTTCAAGGCTGTACAGCACCTCCTAGTGGAACTTGCAAGATCAGCCAATATGTGCCTAACTGGCAATGTCCACAAAGTTATCAGATCTCTCTTTTTTGGCACTGTCCTCTGTGCTCTAAGTAGGATGGCTGAATCACACCCATTACTATTAGCGATACCCTCTGATGCTTCACAGCTAAGGCTGTATTGGAGTTAGTCTAAGCCAGGAAGTAGCCACCATGCTAAACCCTAATTAACTTAAGTTTATAATTTCCTTAAGTTGTCAAATGGCAGCATATGTAGTGCAAGCATATATGGCCAATTTCAGCTATGGTTATGCTTAATATGTGGTCCAAATTAAGAGCTGGAAATACTGATATATCTAACCTTCATATAATTGACGAGGGCAAGGGATGTTTCTGCATCATCTTGTGTTTCAATAAAAACCAATTTATGTCTCTGCAAATCACTTATAATGCCATGATCATACCAGGTGGCAACAACATTTTCCAAGTATAAATATGATGTAAAGAAGCATACCATTCCTAGAAAGAGAGAAACAGAACATCAATTTTACTTTTTATAATGTAAACTAATTATTTTTATATTCAAAATACATTCTTTACAGTGAACTCACACTCCAACAAATTACATGGGCAGACCTGATTGTTCGAGGAGTGATTTTTGTTTCATCTTAAAGCCCAAATTTTGTTTTCTCTCCATTGTTTTCATTGCTTTGGGTAGCCCTACAACCACTGTATGGCACATATTTAAAACAATATTGCCATATTTTAAAAGTACTGTGCTGCTCAAAACTGGCATTTCCAGGTATCTGACTTCCATATCAAGGCAAACATTTCTTCTGTCTCCAGACACCACCCTCCCCCATCTCCATACTCCACCCTTCCCTGTTTCCCTTCCACACTCCTGCCTCCCTCTCCACACTACCCCTTCCTCTTCCACCTCCCTCTTCACACATCCACTAACATATACCAATAAAAAATTTACCATCGGGTACACTTCTTGCCATTTCTACAAGAAGTTTTCCATAATTTCGAACAACAGCAGGATCATCTCGTGACTCAAACTTTGATGATATCGCCACTTGATCATTGCCCTTCGTCACGATCTGCAAATTATGTACAATTAGCTTTCAAGTTAAAAAATGCTTATATGAGGAATTAACAGTTGAGTTCCAATGATTTAATAGGCTTTACCCATAAAATTATGCTTGTGTTCCAATACAAAATGCACCAAAAACTTTAAATGTCACCAAACAAGAATTTTGAGGTGTAATATGATACAGACAAGGCATTAACTAGAAATAGAAACCCAGGAAACATAACATCACAGGTCTCTGGGTAGAGAGTAATACATACCTATAGGCAGCAGAGACAAACAATCCCAATGACCATCAGTTTCTAGCAAAATCGACAGATATCCCTCAAATGAGCAAGTAGTGAGATTAAGAGTACCTAATCAATAAACCCCCAAAATATTCCCAACCTAAAAGCCTCACAGAGAAATCAATGACCCTTACACTATTCTGAGCAAGGCACCCCTCAGGCCATAAGGCTGGCCTCTGTAACAAATTCCCGATCTCACCCAAGAATGTATACTATCAGGACAGGGACATTTCTCAATGAGCACTTAGGGAAGGGCTGCCCTAAACATATGCAGCTCAAAGTGAATTTTCCAAAATTCACAAAACAAGTGAGGCTTGTAAATATACACTCATGAAGCTAACACTAAATATTGAAATGAGACAAACAAAATGACCCCCACAGGACAGAGTCCCACAGATGGCCTACACTTTTCTAGCAATTAGTTGGGACCAGAAAAACTTGGTGACTCAAGCAGCAGTCCACACAGGTGGATATCATGTGAAAGGACTGAATAGTGTTGAAATAGGAGCCAACAGCTTCTGGTATGCTACCAGTGGTGGCCAGCTGCAACTAAGGGTAACTCAAACTGACTACTGGTTGGAACATTTGCAGAGTTGTTTGTAGTTTCATAGTTTTCCCTCACTGAACCTTGCAGTTGTGTTTTGCTTCACTTACCTACTGGATGTTTTCTTTGGCGAGGATGATAATAAAGATCCCTGCTTCCTGCACCTCTGTGATGGGGTCAAGGTTCTGGCTTTGGTCCTTAGTATGCTATTAAGGACTTCTGGGGCTGATGGGACTAGTGTGTGTGAAGCTATCTCAGTGTGGCTAGCTACAGTGAGCTACTGTTTTGCTCCTTCAGAAACACCACACCACGACCACAGGACAGAGGGCATAGCAAACACCAGCCGAGATCAAAGAACAGCATGGAAAAGATGAGAGGACACCCCTTTTACCCTAACACGAGCAAGAGAGCCTCTTCCCCAACATAATGACAAAGTCCCAAGGAACTTTCACTCAGCTTTGCTAAGGTGGGTGCGTGTGGAACAAGATTAGTAACTGCATGACTCACCATAGATGTAAAGTGCCTTGTATAGAGACTGTTGTGAGCCTCTTGTTGAATCATTTATGATATAAAAAGATTATTGATATGTATATGTATTTGTGTACATGGATGTATATATATGTACATGTGTATGTAATATCAACAATTGTGTAACTAGCTTCTAAAGATTGTCACTTGCTTAGCTAAACGAACTATGTGGTTCAGTTCCTGAACCGATTATGTGCATCTGTAGCCCTTTCTACCACCGCCCACGGGATGGGTATGGGGTGCATAATAAAGAAACTGAATTGAATTTGCTAAAAAAGCAATATCGGTTCCTACAGAGGAGTAGCAATGTGTTTGGTACCAGGTATGTAAGTGAGGTGGCAGCCAGGCTAGACCCCTGGATAACCTGAACAGCCACCTGGTGGTGCACTTGGGCACTAGCACATGGCTTCTCTCTTTTTAATCAAATTATATACAAAGTTTGTTTTGATGTGCCTGTACTTTCTGGGTGGTTTTACTCCATTTGGGATCAATCTTGGATCCCTATGCTTCCATCGCCTCTTATTTGGTGACAAGATTCTGGTCCTGATGTTTGGTAGGCCTACACAAAAACAGAGGCCTTGTATTTTTATGGATGGGTCTGTGGTACTAGAGCCAATGCACCAGAAAGCTAAAGTTCCAATCCATAATATTTTGTTCATGTGCTTAAGCTATTAAAATGAGCAAAAAAGAATGCTCTTTCATTTGCAATAATAAAACACGCAGCAATAATGTTTGGTATAAAATAGTGCAAATTAGCAAACTTTTGATACAACAGAAGTACAATGCTTTGGTACTAAGCCTTGTCAAGCTCAACATTAGGTTGCAAGCATGACCTGCTTGAATATATCTATGACAATGAAAATGTAGCTTAGCAAAGATAAAGAATAAAAATAAAAGTATATATGACATGCAGCAAGATATTAAATTAAATTAAAAACTTTATAATAATGCTCACCATTGGGAGGATGCATGGCCGGGCTAGTGTCATAGTGAATGAGTTCTGAACAACTGGGTGAAAATCTAAAATCTTAGGGTACATGTCTAGTGGTGAAAGAGTACCAGAAGTGATCACAACTGTTTGAAACTTTGTGAAAACTGGCTTGATGGCAATGGAAGAATCAAGGCATCTGAAAATAAAACATCACTTTAATGGAGTACAGTAGTGGTCATAACTGACTGGCATTCATAAAATGTAAGTCTGATATTGTACTTAGGTATCATAATATACTGAACAAGCTATTCACTGCTGAACTACAAGTCCTTCATTTCAAAGTATATTATAAATACAGCATCAATATATTTGAGTGCTGAATTGCAATCAACCTGTCTAATCAGACATACTTAGTTTATGTAATTTATTTCTAACACTCATTACTATATCTTCATTTTCCATTTTGTGCAAAGCCTTGTGATTGCTCCCTGATCAAAGACCTGGTCCACTCAGGAGAGGATTGATCATGCTAGCCTCTGCCAATATTAGCTAACATTCTTATCAAGTGACCACAGGAAAATACTCAATCAGGCCACAAAAACTGTCCAAAGTAACTCAATAATATTACATACTACTTACAAATAATACTTAGTTTTGCAATAAACACTAGGGCTCAAACCCTGCTAACCCACTGACCACTACCCCATGCTTCCATAAAATAGTAGTAAACATACCTAACCCTTCTAGTAAACATACCTAAAAGGAGTTGACCACCTTACGTTAAGCTGGGCATCCACCCTTTTCACACTGCCCTCTGCAGAGATCCTATCAGGTTAACTGTGATTGGTTTATCTTTGAAATACTATAGTAGTACGCATCAGTCAATCCCGTGGGGTTATGGAGTTGTGCCCTGGGTGTCTAGTTGTTGTAGTCTAGTTGGATGCAACGCCTGCTGTGGCTGAGAAGGCCAACTCAAGAATAACAGTCCCACCTGCAGCGAGTGCAGATAAACGCCGAAGCGGGTGCATCTGACTGGTCGAGACCTCCTCTGAAGTCTATTATCCTCCGCCTGCCTCTTTAGTTCATCCTCGAATTGCTGGAGTCCCTTTTGCACTTTGTATCTCCAGGCAGACCTGTCCACAGCTGCTACCTCCCAAGTGTTGATGTCGATGTTCAATATACAATACTATACTATACTGTACTCTGAAGAAGTATAGGCTTCTTTGCAGGGGGGCTAATACTTAAGTTACCCATTTATGAGGCATGTTCATCCAGTCAATTGTTTGCGTGTGTGAATTTTTGTTACCTGACTCTTCAGACATCATCTGGGGTGTAGTTTGACTGTTAGGTGTTTGCAAAAGTCACAAACTGCCCTCATCTGCTTATCTTTTTTAACAGGCTTTGGGTAGAGTACACAGTAAACACTACTCATTTGTCCAGGCTTTAGACTGGGGTGGTGGATCTATACAAAGATTTTTTAAGCAGCCACTACTTTCCTTGAGGAGGATGAGGAGGTTCTGGCAATTTTGACTTGCAAATTTTTGGGGGTAGGGAGGGAGGGAGGAAAAATAAAAGGGGATTCCTACTTGGTTTATGTAATAATGAACATTTAAAAATTTGTCGGCAAAACTCCCTGTGAATGAAAGAAATCTATATACTGTAATATACAAAAATAACTTACCTTAAATACAGAATTGGATTAGGAATGTTTGGAGCTTTGTCTTCAAATGGTTCTATAATTATTACAAAACCTTGCATATAGGTGGAAACTAGTGTGGCAAAATGAGCGATAGCAATTAAAGGAGAAAGTTCACCAACATCTGTTAATTCTAGGGAACGGATAATCGAAGACAGACGCTCGGAGCAGAACCTAAGATAAGAAAAGTCATAATTATGAGAAATTTAGAAGCATATTGTATAACAATATTTAAATCTACATTTAAGAATATGAATAAAACGCAGATCTAAATATAACACAAACTAAGTAAGTAAGTAAGTAATTATCAAAAGAAGGCACCAAACCGGGAAGGCTATGTAGCACCATCAAATACACAAAATAATCAGAGGGCGCTAAATATCACCAAGGATGCCAATACGAGAACAAAAACGCATAAGGCGAACGATATCAAAAGTATCCGAGTCACCAAGAATTCTATCGAGGGACAGGTGACCGCGAGGGGCGGTCGGAAAGCAAGTCACACGCTCGTCCTGGAAGTCAGGACATTCAAGAAGGACATGCACTAACACAAACTAAGAAATAGTATATGTAACAATCTGAAACAAAATTTGTTACCTATTACCTATACAGGTGCATTGTACATTTTTGTAATCTATGTATCTTCCCATTATTGTTGACATTTTTTCTTCTACTCTACATCAATGACTTTTACTACTACATTATTTGAAATTAAGATTATCTTGAAGGCATCCATGTATGCAAGGACATGTGTGTGTAGGTAAAGTAAACTAAAATCCAGCATTGAATGTAAAGAATTGCCTCTCTCTGGTAGATCCTCAGTGATTCTCTGTTGCTAGGCACCTATTTAGATGGTTAGATGTGAATAAGGTGGAATTAACCAGGCAGATAGCAACAGGAACCGACCAAGTTGCCAGTCCAGAAAAGCTATACTGTATTAGGTTTAATGCAAACTATATGGTATAAATCAAGAATACACGTTGTTCAAAAAATTATGCTGGTATGGACTTAGTACAGAGCATTTTCATTCATTTGGTTATTGTTACACTGGATGCTTGATTTGACTGTATGAAATCCATCTGTGGACAATACGATATAAGCTCAGTATCCTACTTTGGAATGTGTAAACTTTGTTTGCATATGGGGTGTCCAGCACATGTTGTGTATACCCTGAACCTAGCTTATGTGAGGGGTGCCCAGTGCAGGTGGGAAATGTCCAATACATGCTGGGAGTGTCCAGTATATGTTGGGAATTCCCAGAACATGTTCGGAGTGCATAATGCAGGTGAGAAATACCAAATACATGCAGAAAGTGTCCAGCAAATATTGGGAGAATGAGCTAGAAAAGGCAGGTGAAGGGTCATGCAAGATGACCCTTCTATCCCTTTTAGGAGTTAGATGAGGCAACATACAAGTTGTTTATGTAAGGCTAGTGCTCTGGAATGTCCCCCTGGTTGTGAGTATATTAAATATATGACTGCATGAGCCATACCCAAGGACACAGTGGATTCTTGTTTGAATTCCATATCTCAGCTGAAAGATATGGCTTAAAGGAATTTTTCAAAAAAGCTTAAAAGATTATTTTCAAAACAAAAGTCAGTTAAACGTTACCTTAGTGGCTTACGATCAATGAAAGCTCTATTTTTAAGATCTTTGAGCATTCCTGCTGGGGATTCTTGGACAGCATGTGTGACATTCAAGCGCATTTTCAGATAGTCAATTAATCTGCGCATAAATGATATGAAGAAATCTGCCATTCGTATGTTCCCTGGGATATTTTCTGAAAGATGTGAAACAAAAAATGAGCCCTCTTGATCAGAAACATGTATTTATATCCAGTATAATATACTATTCTTACATTTAAAACAACTTAGATGACATCTTTGACATTGCTAACAAATATCATCAGCATGTTATATTTAATTTTTGTTTGTTTATTTAATATAAAAAGTTGGGCATATACTGTCAGAGCCACCTTGTCTCACACATTTAACCTCAGCATGCAAACAATACGAAAGACATCATACCCCTCCACTTACTCTCATACAGTCATGGGAAAAAGACTATCATATCTATCTTTTCCATGATCTGCTTCCATATTATTTGCTCTACCAGCTTTTTGGTACAGCAGTAAATACAGAGGGGGAAACGTAAAGGGCAAGAATAGGGAGCGAGGGGAAGACATTATTCTGGGCTCCGCCGGGTACTCAAAGTGTACCCAAATAGGGTCTTGGGAATAATTCTACTCCCCAAGCCTAGCTTGGGGCCAGGCTCGACTTGTGATAACTTAGGCTGTTGCTTGAAATGGCCTGCAGGCCAACATATCCACTGCAACCTAGTCTATAGCACTGTATAAACTAGGACGGGTACCCAGCAGTACCTGGGATAGTTGTCTTCCCCAATATTCTACCCCTCTTCCCCTCCTATTTATAAATATAAGTAAAAACTCAGGTGAGCTACCAACCATCTAGAAGATCATTCGGCAAGACAGGACTAGAAATAACTTCTTGGTTACTGGCAGCAAGCCGAAGGCCAGCTACTAGTCTGTTGTATTCTTCCTGAAGTCTGTTATTATCAGACTCTTTAATCCTGCAAGAAAGTTGTACAATTTTATGTTTAAATACAAAATTAATATATCACACTAAATCTTAAGATACACTGTACCGTACCCTCTCCTTCCTTGAGGGGTTGCATAGTTGGAACTTTTAAAATACTTTAAAGAATTAAAGACCATTTGAAAGAGAAACTGAAACATTTGGTAAATAAATCGAAACACCATTTTGGCCATCACATAGAAATTAATTGCCATTTAATTGCATTATAAAACAAATATGATTGCCTCTGCAAACATATAGAAATGAGAGAGTAGAAGAAAATAAATGAGTTATAGTAGGAAGGTACATTCTGAACATGCATTACAATTTCCATATCCTACTTTCTTGGGATGGGGATACATCAACCCAGAGAAAAATTGAATGCTGAGTATAATGAACACCTCATTCCTGGAGCCTCTCTCCGAATCCCCACATCTTATGCACTGGCACCCCAGAGACAATCTCAGGCATCTCAGACTTTCTCATGAGAAAGTCAGACTCTTGGTGAGATGGTATTGGGCCAGGCATGTCCATGCAAAAATTGTGGGGAGCCACTGAGGGGGGCCACCACAGACAAAGGTGAGCAATACCATAAAATAATTATATTGATATTAAATAGTATGCAGTATATTATATACAAAATCATTACTTGCTTTCTTACAAACCTCTTCCACCCCTACCTAATTTCTTAGCATATTCTGTGTCCTATCCGCCCACATTCCAGACATCCTAAACACATACACATTATGTCCACCAGCCATCTTTCTGACCATCCTCTTCTCCTATCTTCAAATACACATCAAAACTATCTCAATATGCTCTCCTAAATCTTGCGGTCATTGACATTAGCTCGCCATCTCTGAATGACATTTTCTTACTTTACTTTCAATGTTCCAAACACTATACATGCTTCTCAAATGGGTCATTTCAACTGTTTAATTCATGATTTTTTAACATTCACACCACACCATCATCTCACAATCATATATATAAAGAGGTGGCACCATTTCATGTACCTCTTTTGTTGCAACTATTCCAATTTCCTATTTCTTAACCAGGACTTTCATTGCATCATCTACTTTCCTTCCCTGACCAAGCATACTCTCAATTTTCATTACAGAGATACATCTTTTAACACTCAAACATATTTTAAATATTTATATTGATCAGCCACTTACAACACTTCACCATTTACATTTATTATACACATTGAATTTCCTTCCCACTCCATCATCATAATTGTCCTTTTGTTCATATCCATTATTAATATGCACCTCTCAAACACCTCAATAAAATGTACAACTTCTCTACATAGCTCTTTCACTATTAAAAGAACTGCATTGGTTGCATATATCAAATATGACATACTGTACTACATTTACTCATTATTTCCAATAACTTTACTTTCATTTCATTCTTAACCAAATATTTTTCTAAGCATTGCACATGGCTCTGGGATTCATTTTTTCATATCTTTCTCTTCAAGATCACTATCAACTTTTCTTTTGTACATATCTACCAGTTTGTTCTTACCCAATGTCAAAACTTACATTTTTTTACCTCTTGCATTCTTATGAGGTGAATCACCCTTTTGCCCCTTATAATCTTACATTACATAGCACCAACATTTGATCAGATAAATGTCTATATATTCATCTCAATAAGCACATAATCGACTTAACTCTTACATACAATTTCATCATTTACCCTGTAACTTATCGAGTATATTTATGATAATAATTATGTTTAAAATATGCATTAGTAATACATTGCACACTTTCCTTCCATAAATCTATCAATCTACAGCCACTGTCATTAATTCCTAGGTCACGATAATTACCCATTATGTAATTCTCAGGATATATTTGCACTTTCCAGTTTTGATCACCCATTATTCTAACTTCTAGGTATTGTATCATACAAATTTCATTCCCTAAGCTACAATCTTTGTTATTGCTTAACAACTTGTACAGCATTATACAAACCTCTGAATATCTTCATTGAGGCTAGTTACACATGTTTTGGCCTTGTCCAGCACCTTTCTGTTGATGTTGATACTCATTGAATCTACACATATGTTATCTGAAAATAGAAAAATAAAACATTTGACAAAAAAAAAAAAAAAAAAATGGATTCCAGGAGTCATAGCAAGAAGAGCTAGTTAGAAGACATCTAAATGTTATTTTGTGTTTTATCTTGCCCTTGTTAGGCACAATTTATATTATGCTGCTGTTTTAGTTTTGGGGAGGTTGTTACACAATTGACAAATTCTTTAAACAAATGTACGGAGAAGGATGACACAGAGTTCGTCCTAGAGATCTGAAACCTTCACTATGAAGAGATTAAGACAATTTAATTTACATTTTCTGGAAAATCAAAGAGCATGGGGGGGGGGGGTTATTAACAAGCTTGTAAGTATATCAACTCAAAATAATGGATAAGTTAACACTCAGAAAAGACCCTGGCAAATACTGATGAGGAAATAGGGTTGTTGATTAATCGAACAGATTACCAGGTACATAACAGACGAGGGATTGCTGGAAAGTTTCAAACAAAAGTTAGACATATATACAAGTGAGTTTGGCTGGATATAAATAGGCGTTGCCTCACATTAGTGAATAGGCTTTCTGCAGTTTCCTCAATTCATATGTTCTGATGTAGATTGTAAACAAGGGAAAGCAAAAACATGACTAAAGTTATGTAATTATTGTCCAGTAATATTATTTAACCAGACATGAAACAAAATTGTATAAGAAATTGGGAAACAAATAGATGAAGTATGTACTGTATATTAATATGATATAGACACATGAAACACATAATGAATCATAGACTGTTAAACATTCAAGATGTTACTACAGTAAATGTAAGATTAGACTACACATGACCTGTAAACCAGCCCTCGGGTGGGGGTATCAAACAAAGCCAGGATGTCCTGAAGGGTATCTGGGAGGGGCAATGCTGCCAAGGGGTATGTTATGGCTCCCAGTAGCTTGTGACCTTATAGACATTGAATAGGGCCTCTGCCTACATGAACCATGCATTTTGGTTGGTCAGGAGCATGGTACATCAGTAACCTGATAAATATAGCATGTCTGGTATTTAGGAGCGTGTTTGGGGGAATACAGGGTGTGGAATCAACTCTGGGATTACCACTTTCTTGTGTAACTACTAGAAAGGAACTCAATAAACAAATGTCAATTATCGTAATAGGTATACAGTATTGTTAAGTACCTGTACTTAAAAGGAAGGTTAGGCACTAAAAATTTTGTTACTAGCTATAGACATCAAGATAAACTGGCTCATACAATATCCAGGAAGTTCGCAGATTGGCTCCACGAAACTGAACCGTTTTGCAGGAGAAAAAGTGAACAGCATTACAGAAACTTATATGACCACTAAGGCCATTTGAAAATAACCCAGAAGTTTATCCTTCTGGGTTATTTGGTATGCTTCCCGACAGTGTATGACTCTGGTTTAATGACACAGTGGATGCTTACCATAAACAGAGACCAATGTGATAGTTCAGCAAAAGCCTTGTTTACTAACTTACCAATATTATGAGCTTCATCAAATACGACACAAGATTCCTTCTTCATCTCTTTTGATACAATTTCTGAGATCTTTGGATCTAATAAGTAGTGGTAACTGTAGACAACTACATCTGCATGCATTACCTGAAAGATATTAATTTAATATATGTGATCAGTGCAAATTTGGTTAAATATCCCAAAATACATTAGAACATGTCAACCCCTAGCACATCAAAGAAAGAAAAAACAAAGAAATTATTTTAAATCACAGGTTTAACAGTTTCTACAAACATTGTTGGTATCTCATTCTTTCAATTTTAATTACTGTACATATAAATCATCATTCAAAACAAAAATAAAAATATATCTGGTACTCTATAATTTTTTTTACTCTATAATTGTGTACATACTATGATGGAGTAAAATAGTTTAATACTGTAGCTAGTTTAATTTTAAGTATGCAACAAGTAAAACTAAAATGTGAGCAGGTTGAAATTCACATTCTAGATAAAATATCACAGTAACACTAGTGACAGGAAGATGGACATGGTGAATTTGGAAGAGAAAATGGGATAAAATATGGATGACCTGATGTTCAATGACCAAAGCATCTATAAGGAATATGCCATAAACAGCTTTACTGCAAATAAAATAAACTATAACTACTATACAGTACATGTAATAATAAGCAGTCATAAATCAAAACTTACAGCATGTCGTGCTAAAAAATATGGGCACCATCCTTTCTGATTTCCAAATTCTCGAAGGTCATCAATGTTATATACTCCAGCAGGGATAGGAAATTCCTTTCCATGTAGATCAAACTTTTCAAAAAAATCACACTGTGCTATCGTATCATCCCGCTGAGCTCTAGAACGTACATAGGATGCTGTGAGGGCATGACATCCACTGTCAATGATCTTTCCATCTCTTGCTTTATTAACCTGTAAAATAAAAAAAAATTATTAGATAAAATATCATCAAAACCCTGTTTCACACTTTCACTGGGTAGGGAGACACCAGCCACAGTCAAAAATAGGAAAGCAGTATAATGAGAGATGGTTATCTAACAAAATACCACTTGCCTATTTATTATATCAGCCACACTATATAGCATCAGTTAAACTACCAGTCATCCCCACGAGTGGTCATATAAAATACAAATGTATGCACTCACTACAAAATGATGCTACTCAACTACTGTATATCCTTTACCATATCCCAAGCACAGTTTGTACGATACTCTATTTTACCGACTGCCTCTGTTAGTAATATCACGAAAATCTTCTAGATCATCAGAAATAAGCTGGAAAGAACAACTAGATAATGCAAACCTTAATCAGTGCTTTGAGAAAATAGGCAGAGCAGCACTAGAAATATGTGCACATGGTATACATACCACTAAGAAAAGAGAAAGAGGCAAATTAGAACAAGAACAGCATTCCCACTGCAGGATCCAAATACAAATCACAGAACAACTTGAACACTTCACTTTACCCCAAGAATGGCAAGGAAGGCTATGTAGAGAAATAGAAATAATCGGGTTGCAAGAATCACAAAATACAGAATGAGCAAAGAGAGCAAAAGGCCATATGTGAAACACAGAGGATTCAAAAAAAACTTTTACTCCTAAGCAAAAATCTAGAACAAAAACTACATCTAGCACTGGGCCCTTGCACAAGAGTGATGGAACTTTAACAGATAACAACAAAGAACTGAGTGAAATACTCTACTGAGGCTACAAAGCTCAGTGTCCCAAGGAACTGTGTTTGCTCCAGTACTTTTTCTCATCTTCATACTGGGCACAGACAAGAACACAAACTATTGTATAGTACTGTATCATCCATTGCAGCTGACATTATTCTTACATTTAAAGAACACAATAAAGTAGCTGTCACAACTTCAAGAAAAATGACAGGTTGGGTAATAAAATCCTTTCAAACAAGAGATGCCAATGATGCTACTAAGACACTAGTGCTTACTAGGGTGGAATATTTTTGCACACTAACAGCCCCATTCAAAGCAGGAGAAATTGCTGACCTGAACAATGTGCATAGGTCATTTACTCCCCAAATCCACTAAATGTAACACTAAAGTTACTGAGACCACTTAAAATTTTTATTTGTATTCTCTGGAATGCAGGCAAGAGAGATACATAACAATCTATAATTAAAAAATATTCAAGGGACTGGTTTCAAATCTGCACACAGATATAACTTTTCATAAAACCAGGAGGCATGGTGAGAAGTGCAAAATAGACCCTGCTGAAAAGCAGAGGTGCAATTAGGTACACAGAGAATTCTATCAGTGTGTTAAGGGATCAAGTCTTCTCAACACATTCCCCTCTACACATAAGGGGCATAACTAGTTGATCTCAAAGAGAACCTGATAAACATCTCCAAAGGATACCTGATCAATCAGGCTATGATTCATACATTAGGCTGTGAGCACCTGCATTCAACAGCCTGATTGACCAAAACACCAACTAGGAGGCCTGGTGAGACTGGGCCAGAGAAAATTTCCCCAGAACCATCAACAGGAACTGGTAGGTAGTATCCATCATATGTTGGACTACTACACAGTAGCTATTAAGGTAAAGAAGTTAGCCAAGAGCAAGTGGCACAATCTTAGGGCAAGGAACCTTTTATCTGTGTAATCAGATCAGCCCCAAAGCAAATTGATCACCAGATGCAATTTACTAAACCTTCCCACTGCAGATTTTAAAGTCTGCAACACCAACTCCCTTCCCTAAATATGTGACAGGACCACTTGTAAAGATCCCTGTTCCAACAGGAATAAGGTCATGAAAGCCTATGACAACAGTAGGAAAAGAAAGATGATAAAAGATATGACATTAAACATACCTCAGGATTAATACACAGATGTTTTCGTGAAGCCATAGCAATTCCAATGAGGTTAGATGACTCTTCAGTTTCTTTCTCTATGTAAGTCACTAACTTTCGAAGCTCCTCAATTACCTGCAAATATAAGTTATATAACCCCAGGATTATTTATTTTATTATGTATTTAATCAGGCAAAGTTACACACTCAACAGATCCTGGAATAAAAAATATCAGTCTTGAATTCAAAATAAAGCTCCACATATCAAAGAAAATCATCAAAATCATCAAAGAAAACAGTAGTAGTCCACGCCACAAGATGGCCGAGGAATGGAAAAGATAGCAAATGTGAGAAAGTCTGTGAGTTCTGTAGTTTTAAGTGGCATCTCAATACTGTAACTCCGTGTTCCAGCCCTTTGATTCCCTCCCCCTCCCAAGACCAAAGGGGGTGAAATAGGCTCATAGTGAGGGGTCCTTCCTCCCCAGCAAACATAGGGAGTTATGTTGAGATCTCCTCTTCAGGCCCCCCCCCCCCCCACACACACTTTTTTTTTTTTGAGGGTAAGGCAAAATCAGTGTTTAGGAAGTTGCTAGTGCCATAAGCTAGAGCAGCTAGATGTAACACTCAGAAGGGGCATTTTGTTAAACAAAAATTTGTACTGTATACAATTAGAATAATGACAAATTATTAATAAATTTATAAATATTTATGGCCCTATCTGGGAAGTAGCAAACAAGCAATTCCAAAACTAAACTTTGATGATTCTGTAAGATATTAACATCTCCAGTTTGGTTTACTAAGGTCTAAAAAGTTTAAATTTTATTTTCTGAATTTCTTTGCATAACTAGCAATTTTATGAATGTATTTTACTGAGCTGGAGATGAGACCTGTGACTAATATACCGAGAAAATTTTTTAAAAAGCTCAACACTGCTCTGAATTCAATCAATTAATTTTCCATAATTTAGATATTATGGTACTGGAGAGAAAATAGAAGACAAATCATTTTTTTTTAGATTCCAACTATATTTCAACAAGCTGAAATTATATACTAAAAATCTTTTTACAAACTTTAACATCTAAAATTTCCTGTTTGGAAAGGCTCAACTTTGTAGAAAATGATTTCCTACTTTTTCTATTTCTGGAATTGTTCTGGAGCAATAAATAAGTTTGGAGAGATTCTGTGGAAATGCTCTCAGATAGGAGATGGTTAAAGCAAGTAGTGTGATTGTCTTTCCAGTTCCAGAAGGCATCTCCAATATGCAGTGGCCCTGAAAAAAGAAAAGAAAGTTTATAATAGAATAGTATTACTGTAATACATTTTGAAATATATTCAATGAATGAAAAGAAACTATTAAACAAAATAATGCACACAATTTGAAACTATGAAACATGACAAATTAATTGAATCTTAAAATTCGAGGTAAAAAACCTTAACTATGAAATATGTACATAAATAGGGAATTGAATGGAATGAGCCACTCCTTTTTGAGCTGTCAACTGGTTGCTCCTTGAGCAGGGGCCAAGATTCAACCAGATCATTGCTCATATGCCAAGCTCTGATCAATTTTAGGTCCCCTCAAGGAACTTTCAAATACTGTAGTCTTTCCATATACAGTACTGTAACTGGGGTAGGAACTCAGTAGAGAGAGTATTTTAATCCAGACCTTACTCTAGGAAACCTGTAGGAAACTTCACCATAAGAGAAAGGCAACTTATAGAAACAATAAGTGAGAAAGATTTTGAAGGTGATAAAATTCCACCATCAACACCAAAAGTTTATGTAAATGGAACAATGTCAACAGCATATAGAAAGTTGGCATATTTAAGAACTAATGTTAAGAACTAAATTCTAGACATGAAGCTTTAAAAGACCATGGGAAGATGCACCATGGAACCACTACCATGTGAAGGACAAAAAAGATAAAGGTGAACCACATTTAATGTCGAGGTTAGGTTCCTAAAAAACAGTAACTTTGAAGCTACATTATGTGAAACCAAAAACTTCTAGCTTAGTTTCTAATGATATTGTCTTCCATTGTTTCTTTTGCCATTCATTAGGATTACTACTCATTATAAGCTCTTTGCCCCTCATATCTTCTTGTCTAAGGAATATATTTTTACTAATAACATCCAGCTTGGAACTCTCACACACTGCCTGTTTATGTTTAATCAGCTAGTGACACACATTTATTTTGGTAGCAGCTAAATTTTCTTAATAATTTGTTAACATAACCATATGAATATTACAGTATACAGTACAATATTATACAATTTTTAAGTACTGTATTTTGTGTTGTTATTTTCACTAAAACAAAAGTTGTATTTTTAGAATAAAAAATATTGCCCTTATATGCAGGACATACTTCCTTTTCTGCAAGTACAATAAGTTTCCAAATACTGTAGTTTTCTCCATTTTATTTTGGGAAATATTGAAAATAGGTTCAAATTTATTTACTCTTTTTTCCTTGCAACATAAAAACGAAACAACGTTAACTGGGGCAACATTAAACAAGGTTTGACTTTACTGGAGAATGTACACAAATTTGTATTTAAGACTACAGTATTCCCAGAAATGAGAGAGCTCAGCTGTGAGAACAGGTTAAGTGAATTAAGCCTCACAACCTTGGAAAAAAAGAAACAGGTAATATGATCATTACATACAAAGATGCTAAGGAGACATGGCAAGATGGACATAGGCAGAATATTTCAATTGAGATTTGGAAGGAAAAAGAGAACATCTATGGAAGTCTGACATGCAATTAGGTAAACAAAAATGATGTAAGGAAATTATCGAAAGATGACTGATACATAGAATGCCTTATAAGAAAGTTGTTAAAGCTACTTCCACCAATCCTTGGATAAAAATACAACAGAACTTGAACAGCAAGATAGAGGTAAGCAGTGATAGTTAAGCATCTTAGCGATCACACACTGTATGCTAATACAAATAAATAACTTTACACCCAATTATCAATCTGCTAACTACATGTTACTTTGACTGCCACAACATGACCAAAGGAGCTGAAAACAGTAATTTAAAATCAATATGGCAAATTGGTAAATTAAGGATGGGAACTGTAGTAAGTTAAGCTTTACATTCCACTAAGCACCCTATTTCTTGAGTAGGGCTCAATTGGTTTTTCCATGAACCAACTTCCCATGTAATCACCTGGTGATCTTACAGACCATCTATCAGCTACTGGGCATCTAAATTTCTGGGAGACTGGGTCCTGTCCCAGTAGTAGTCCATTACATGGTATAGTACTGAACACCCAGAAGTCCCTTAAATATAATGAAAACAGGCTTAAACAAAAAAAAATTCAAGTACAGTACTGTACATACTTTGGCATCAAGGGTCCTCTTTAAATCCAACATGTAAGAGTATTGTTCAGGGTAGATAAAGTCATACGGGAAATACACCTGCATCCCATCAACATCAAGCCTGTAAAAACAACAAAAAAGAGCATTACAAAGTTTTTAATTACATTTGTTTCAATACCAGAAGAAAGCCTAGATTATGATATGCATTTTGAGTTTTATTTGGAAGAATTCAGTCAACTTTTAAGATTTTTTATCTTTAACTTGTTGCTAAAATGCTTATCGAAATATTAATCAAAATATGTTTGTGGCCAAATTTATTATGCCCTGAAGTGTTCAGCTAATCAGACACCAGGCAGTTATAAAAATACATGCTAATACTGGGTGATATGATTATTATATCCACCTTCCTTTTAATATTATGATGTAACAGTAAAATAATAACATACATACTTAGTGCCAATAAGAATATACTTCACCAGCATCCATGACACATGTTCAATTTTTTTTTCCATGTACCAGTATATCTTGTTTTTTTTAATCTTTTTTGCATTTCTTGTTTTTTAAATCTGTTTCCATGTATTTCTAGTTTTTAAAATCTTTGTTTGAATATAACTAAAATAAACTTGAATTGTTATTTTGTACCAGTGGCCAGATACTGACAACTTTATCTTCCTCTATACTGGATGAATACAGGCCACTTCAAACACAAGTGTTTGCATTTGCAAACATTTAGAGCTTAAATTGTAATTCAAGGTAACCGAAGACACCTAAACCATGAAAATGTATGATGTATATTGTATAGGTGTACACAAGTTACAAAAAACAAGCTACATATACAGAATTTATGAATGAATTATGGAATGTGCAAAATTAATGTGTTCAAGATAACCTTATACCTTTGCCTGAGACAACTTAAGGTAGAGATTACAAAGGCAGACATATACACCACTTTGTACCTAAAGACGGCTCGACTGTAACTTACCCAACCTTACCCAGGATGTGCTCAACAACAAGACTCCTATTCTAACAGTCAAAACCATATATACTATATCGTTAGGTTAGAATAGGTTGGGTAGGCCTGGTTAGAGACCAGACCGCGGGGTCATTGATCTCCGGAACCAACATAAGGTAAGGTATCCACTTTACCTAATACTAATAAAAATATTTATTTACAGTAGGGTACAGTTGGTATGTGAGATTACATAAGATTGGTATTTTTACATTTTTGCAAAGCCACTAACACGCATAGCGTTTCGGGCATTTAATCCAAACGTAAAAGCCAATAACTGTATACCAATGAACTTACAACATGCTGACAGCTTTTGGCTTCTTCTTGGTTGTGATATACACGTGTAGTGTCCTTAAAGTTTTACAAATGGCCTTTGATATTAGCACAGTTGAGAGGAGAGTGTGTGGAGAAGAGCAGGGCGCTGTACCCTGTGTGAGCAAGGACGGCGAGGCTCTGTTTACCTCCCCCGCGCTATATTAACTCTCCCTCACCTCACACACATGGCTAATGTAAACACCTACAATGTCTATATATATACGTATATAAAATACAGATAACAAAATAATTACGCAAGTCTACATAAAAAAGAGTACTAGTAATCAATTATTACAAATACAAATGTAAAACATATATATATATTAACAAGCTTAGGTACACACAGCAATGTGCTGCTACCCTCTATTCATAAAAGTATTTGTGTGTACGTCTGATAACATACTACTTGTGAGGGAGGAAATGTATATTTTTACCTCTCAGAATGTTTGGTAATGTGTTTATTTGTGATGTGTGTCTATGTATATATTAACACGTTGTACTGAATGGGGTGAGAATAGTTTGAGCTACCTCATCCCTTTGTGTGTATTTTACCTCAATAAACTTATTTCAATTTCAATTTCAATTTCAACCCTCTATTCTATATGAAAGATTACACAGTGTAGATTACAAACTAGCTACAAGTTCATCTAATACCCCCCCCACACACACAATCCTGGACCAATCCTGGAGTATGCGGCCCCAGCATGGAGCCCGTACCTTGTCAAGCACAAGCCGAAGCTTGAAAAAGTTCAGATATATGCCACTAGGCTAGTCCTAAAACTAAGAGGCATGAGTTACGAAGAAAGGCTGCGAGAAATGCATCTCACGACACTAGAAGACAGAAGAGTAAGGGGGAGACATGATCACTACATACAAAATTCTCAGAGGAATTGACAGGGTAGATAAAGATAAACTGTTTAACACGGGAGGAACGCAAACAAGGGGACACAGGTGGAAACTGAGTCCCCAAATGAGCCACAGGGACGTCCGAAAGAACTTTTTCAGTGTCAGAGTAGTTAACAGATAGAATGCATTAGGCAGTGATGTGGTGGAGGCTGACTCCACGCACAGTTTCAAATGTAGATATGATAGAGCCCAGTAGGCTCAGGAATCTGTACATCAGTTGATTGACAGTTGAGAGGCGGGACCAAAGAGCCAGAGCTCAACCCCCCGCAAGCACAATTAGATGAGTACACACACCCCACCCTCTCACAGGGAGGGTGTGTGTAGAGGCATAGTGGTGGGTGCCTGGGTGGAGCAGACGTCACCCCCGCCAGGGAGGAGCAACACGTGGTGGGCCGCTGCTGCTCCTCGCTCACACCTCCATAACACAACTCCCACTCCCTCCACCCACATAACAACCCATTGCTTGTAACACACCCGCCCAATTCTGCGGAATACAACACTAGGTTGTGTTGTGTTCCACTCTTACGCATGCACTTGGGGACTTAAGTGAGAGAGGTCCTATGTAACATCATGATTCCTGTGTTGACTGTAGTGCCATGGTTTTCAAGGTAATTTTCTGTTTTGTTAAGTTTAATGAGAAATGTTTGCTGAGGCGATATGTGTGTACGATGATTTTGGGACATTTAATTACTGAGGACCAAGTTCAAGTATGTTTATTGAGACAATAGCCTACTTATTTCTATTTCTAGGCTATTTATTTCTTAGGCTATTTCTACCCTCTAACTGACGTTCTTGAGTACAGTATTGTAATAATGTAATACACTGAGCTTGGAACTCTGGAAAAAGCAAAAGAATAAATTACAGTGAGAGGGTTTGGGGGGGGGGGCACAGGAAACCATTACAGTATTATAATAATATAATAATAATAATAATAATAATTAATTATTATTATTATTATTTATTTAGGAACAGTACATACATAGTTGCAGCATTACAGTACAAACATTGTTAGATTTAAAGATAGAGATACAGTGTAGTACATACAATACCTAAAGCCGCTAGTACGCATAGCGTTTCGGGCAAACGTTATGCGTTTATAATTTATATACGCAATTATATATTATAATTATATATGCTGTATATAATATATACAGTATATTATTGCTCCTCATTTATGTATAATGAGACCAAACTAATCATTCTCCAAATAAAAGCGTGTACAGTGGAACACGCTTGTAGTATTAATCAGTAGATTTGATTAATGATATAGTAATAATAATGAATCATAGCCCCTAATCTAATGGAGATGGGCTAAACTTGTTTTAATCTGAAAGTCACATTTATAAACATCTGCAGTTGTTTGAATGTGCAGATGTATTTTAGGACTATCCTATGCAGAATTTTCTTTATACAGTCTTTAATTATTTGGTGAGGAGATTAAATCATTTATCATTTTGATATTTAACATCTTATGAGGTAAAATACATAATTTTTAATATATTTCAGGCAAGAATGGATTGATGTTTATAAAGCAGTATTTTCTGACGACATCAGCCGGTGGAAAGATGCAAAAGACACGATGATTGTGTGGCAGGCAAGGCAAGTGCAAGATAATTAAACACAACTTTATGCTAAAAAAAAAAAAATTAGATAAAATGTATTGTTATCCTTTTATGAATGTACAGTATACAATACTGTACTGTATTTATGAAAATGTTCAAACAAACATGCAAGATATATATAATTTACAATATTGTAATACAATAAGGAAGATTGAAACTACCTGTGCCATATTTTCCTGGTACAGTTTCTCAGCACTATAATATATTGTAATATGGCAGATTAAAATTTGAAATGGTTTGAATGGGTTGGGTTTTAAAATTGATATTAGGTTATTGAATAGTAGCCCGATCAAGTTGTATATTTAGGACTAGTGGTCTGGGTCTAGTAACCTTAGATATGCATGGTATTTCTGTTTGATGGTAGTCAGCGGGTTGGCAAGCATACGAACTTGTAAATCGTCATTTGGAAGTGAATTGTAATAGTAGGAGTGAGTTTATAGGGATGAGTCTGTATGACTGTTACGTCTGGTAGTCATTCTGGGTTGCACTGAGCTTTTCTGGAGTACCTCTTTAGTACCTTTCTGATCCTGCAGAGATCTTTGAAAAGATTTTGGTGGCCTTTGAAATCAAAATCTTTGAAACGTTTTGATTTCGCCAGAATATCATCATGCCTGGGTGTGTGTGAATCTGGTTTAGTGATAATTGTTTTCTATATTCAAAAGGTCTGTTTTTGTATGGTGTTTTCATGTACAGTAATTTACATGAAAATTAATACCTGTCATGACCTGTCCTAAATATTTATTATTCATATAAAGAATACAATTAATAATTTGTTTCTATTTTTCAGGGTTAATAAGTTGCCTGCTGGTATTGATGTAACTTTGCCATTACTTGAAGCCAAGATAGTAGGTGCCGACCCCACAATTGAAAACTCTGTCAAATCTATAATGCTTGCAACAGCCGTACAGAGGTGAGGCATGATTTTGTACAAGTGTATAGCATCCAGACATGTTGATATGTTTGCCCTACTATCGTACCAGTGCAATTATCCTGGCATGGTAGAAATTTGTTTTAAGCCCCTAGAGTACTACTGTTACATGTTGTATCATTTGTGGAAGGCATTAAATAGCCTCCTGTAATTGAGTTGAAATTCCTTGCTGTAAACAGATTTAAATGATATGTGACACTTTGCTTTGAGAGAGTAATAAAATATTTGTTGAATCCCATGTAAGGTGTACTCCACTTCTTCGACTGCTATAAAAGTACAGTTGCTACCCTCACACTGAAGATATTTAATCTTGTGCTGTATCTTTGGCCCTTAAAGAAATGCTTGGTCATTAAAAAATTTTGCAAGTGATGGTAAAGTGCAGCAGGACATTACTATCCATAAGTATCCATTACTATCCATACATTCTCTATCCATAAGCTTGATACAAGTTTTTAATATATTATACCATTGTTTATGCTTTGGTTTCATAGTGACACAAATGTATAAAATGTATACATGGAAATGTAATGTGTGCTTTGGTCTTATTTTAGTATGTACTGTATATGTAGGATATTAGTGAATTAGAGAAAATGGGGAAACCAATTACTGTATTGCTGTTTCATTGTCAGTGCTCTACTGTATTGGCAAATAAGATACTCTTTACTGTTGAGTCAAAGGAGTCTTCTGTAAGTTTCAAAATCTTTCCAATAATTGGCTGATTTCAACATCTTCCATTCTAGGTTTGTGAGCTCTATTGTGAAGCTGCCTCAGACAAAGTACTATCATCAGCAGACGATGCATGATCTTGCAAGTGAAATTGAACTACCCATACATCTTGTTGATCTTCGGAATGAGATAATACATGGCAGTGGGGGCTGGGCAGGTGGCCAAACTGTTCAGAAGGCACTCGATACTGCGTGTGACTGGATCAAGGTACAGTATACACAAAATATGTTCGTTGCTGATAATTCATTTAACGATTTTTGTTGAGGGCATCCAAACTATATTGCTTGAACCTTATAATTTTCCATTCTTTTCTTGTGTTCTGCACACAATTTGGATTACATTATTGATAAGCACTTTTCCTCCTGTGCAAAATTATGAACAAAAACTACATCTAGCATTAATCCCTTGTGAGAGAGAGGTGGAACTTGCAGAGATGAGAACAAAGAAATGAGTGAAGTACTGAGTAATAGTCATTAAAATAAAATACGGATCCTTCCAGGGAACTGTGCTTGCTTCAGTGCTTTTTCTCATTCTAATGTCAGACATAAAGTACCCAAATTATAGTACCATATCATCTCTTGCAGATCACCCTGGTATTTTTATTTTGCTTAATCTTATAATATTCTTTAATTTTTTTAAATGAACAGAGCTATTATTGGGATGATGAATGGAAGAAGATGCAAAAGTCTCCAGAAGAATCTTCAGTACCACAGATACCACAAGATGAATGGCAAAAGTTCTTGAAACTTCTTCAGTTTCATGCTACTCTTGTGATCCCTGAATCACGCACTGCAAAGTTCAAGAACAAGTTTCGAAAAAAGGTAATTATTTAATTTTAAAGCTCTCACTTTCTCATAGGCACGCACATCTTGAACTATAGTTATTTTCAACAACTGTACAACAAAGAATGCTAAGACATAATATTTTTTTTTATACAGTACAGTATGGTACTATAATGTATATCAACTGTATATGATAGGCCACCCACCATAAGGCCTTTAGAAATCTGAATAAGACATTCTGGATCTTGATTACCACATATGTAAGACCAATTCTGTAATACGCGTGTTTGCATGGATGCCTTATCTCGTAAAACAGTGAAGCTGGAGAAAGTCCATAAATATGCCACCAGACTAGACCTAGCACTGAAAAGTATGACAAGAAAAGACTAAGTGATCTTCAGATCACTGGAAGATAGAACGAGTCAAGGTAAGCATTACTGCTTACAAGATTCTTAACAAAATAGATGAAGCAGACGAGAACAGATTATTTGAATTGGGCATTTCACAAACAAGGGGCCATTAGTGGAAACTAACTACATAAATCAGCAGTAAACAAAGAAACATATTCCTTTGAGGAAAGCCAGAAAGAGGTCAAACATTGAAAGAGAATGCAGACTACACTACAAAAGAGGGAAAAAATTAATGGATATGCTTAAGCAGACACAACTTTCTATACAAAGAAGGAATAATTTAAACGGAGATTGAAGAAATCGAACAGACTGAAGCATTCATATCAGATTGACGAAAGGCAACTAGAACAGAAAGCAATTCAAGAAATAAAGAAAAACCCAAGATATCTTCACATATGCTTAATCAAAAACATAAACCACTGCCAATATTGGACCTATTCGTACTAGTGAAAGTTCATACACTGAGGATGACAAAGAAATTAGTGAATTCCTAAAAAAGCAGTATGAGGACATGTTTAGCACTCCGATAAACATCATGAAAGTGGAAGATCTGGACAACTTCTTTATGCGTGATATCCAAACCCCTGTAAATATAACTGATATCAACACGAGCATGACAGATTTTGAAAGAGAAATGGACAATATGCCCATGCACTCAGCCAAGGGTCCAGACTCGTGGAATTCAATATTTATACAAAAATGCAAAGTGCCAGTAGCACAGGCACTCAATATAGTGTGGAGGAAGAGCTTGGACACTGGGGAGATACCAGGTGCACTTAAAGCAGCAGACATTGCCCCTCTACACAAGGGCGGAAGCAAAGCATTGGCAAATAATTATAGACCAGTTGCACTAACGTCCTACATAATAAAAGTATTTGAGTGATCAGGAGTCAGATCACTATTTTCATGGAAACCAATGACCTCCACAATCCAGGCTAACATGGATTTAGAGCAGGAAGATCATGCCTCTCACAGCTACTTGACCATTACGACAAAATCACTGAGGCATTAGAAGAAAAACAGAATGCAGATGTGGTATACACGGATTTCGCAAAGGCATTCGATAAATGTGACCATGGAGTGATAGCACACAAAATGAGGTCAATGGTAATAGCTGGTAAAGTAGGACGCTGGATACTCAGTTTTCTGTCGAATAGAACATAGAGTAAACAGTCAGCCATATAAAATAAGAGTCCAAGTGCAGTTGAAAGCTCAGTACCTCAAGGTACAGTCCTTGCACCACTGCTTTTCCTTATTCTCATATCAGATATAGACTCAAATACAAGGCACAGCTTCATATCATCCTTTGCAGATGACACAAAAATCAGCATGAAAATTACCTCTGCTGAAGACATTGAAAACCTGCAAGCAGATATTAATAAAGTTTTTGACTGGGCAGCAGAAAATAACATGGTGTTTAACAGCAATAAATTCCAGGTACTCGAATACGGTATAAATGAGAACCTTAAACATAATACAGGGTACAAAACAGTCAAATTTGCCCATAGTAGGAAAGCAACATGTAAAGGATTTGGGAATAATGAAGTCTGACGACCTAACGTTTAGGGAGCATAACCAAGCAAGTATTGCGGCAGCCAGAAAAATGTTAGGATGGATTACGAGAACTTTCAGATCCAGGGATCCCATTACAATGGTTGTACTCTTCAAATCACTTGTGCTATCCCATCTTGAGTACTGCTCAGTACTCACTTCCCCCTTCAGAGCAGGAGAGATTGCTTAAATAGGAGTACAGAGAACATACACAGCATACATAGACACGATAAAGCATCTAGATTATTGGGATCGTCTCAAAGCTCTCCAAATGTACTCACTAGAAAGGAGACGAGAGAGATATCAAATAATAAATACGTGAAAAATACTGGAGGGTCAGGTCCCAAATTTGCACAGTAAAGTAACAACATACTTGAGTGAACGATATGGAAGAAAATGCAGAATTGAACTAGTGAAGAGCAGGGGTGCCACAGGCACAATTAGAGAGAACTGTTTAAACATCAGAGGTCCAAGGTTGTTCAACATCCTCCCAGCGAGCATAAGAAATATTGCCGGAACAAGAGTGGACATCTTCAAGAGGAAACTAGATAGTTTCCTACAAGGAGTGCTGAACCAACTGGGCTATGGTGGGTATGTGGGCCTGCGGGCCGCTCCAAGCAACAGCCTAGTGGACCAAACACTCGCAAGTCGAGCCTGGCCTCAGGCCGGGCTTGGGGAGTAGAACTCTCAGAACCCCATTAAGCAGGTATCAACCAGGTAATAGACATTCATGAATGAAGTTTGCAGCCTAATAGCTTGCTCTGTTTTTTTTTTTAATTTCCTCTTTATTTCATACTTTTAATTTTAATTTCCTTTGATTTTTTTCATGCACATAATATGGAAGGTATGGAAAGATTGTGTTAAGGGAATTACAATAAAAATATATGGTTTCATGTACTCTGGATATCAGATGACTGAAATAATATAGGGGTTCAGTGGTTAGGGATCATGTGGCAAATTTTAAAACATTAAAAAAAATAGAAATCAAGTTTACCATAATTAAAAAAATATGCGCAATAGATTCTAAGGTCATGGGGATTAAGATTTATATGTAAGAAAGTTGTGTATTTAAGCATTATTAAAGTGGACCAAATGTTGTTTGAAATATTTGCATGTAGGCCATCTTGCCTGATTAATTATACTGTATGTGCTTTATATGGTGAAATATTCGTACAATATAAATTTTTAGGCTATGTAACGCAAAGCATCTGATACTGCTAAAGGATGTTCTACTAAATACTGATTGTTAAATTTCAGGCTTGCCTTGACCTAGTTAAAACGCTAGAAAAATTATACCCTCAAGATCCACAAGAATGTATGACGGCTATTGTGTCACATTTACTTGTTCCAGAAGCCATGCCCAATCTAATAGAGCGACTTCAGCCTAGTGAGTTACTTTTTGAACTTTACTTAAGGAATGCAGTTTATTGAATGTTTAAATTTTGTTACAATATTTGCTACTTTATATATTTTCCACAATCATGTTTTTATTATTGCAAATGGTAGAACATACTTTTTATGAATGTTGTATATTGATACCATAATCTTATGGAAAAATAAGGATTTGAGTTAATCTTGGGTGTGTTATTTGGCTGCTCCCACTTGTAAGATCTCGGTGTCCTTTGACATGGGATGCACAACTGAGCAGTGGAGACAAACAGCACAGTGCAAAGAATTTTCAAGCATTCCTGCATGTCTATATCATAGTAAGGGAGTCATTGGAGAAATGTATGAATCCAGTGCATAAATGACTATGAAGGGTCAATCCAAAGCCTCTCTAATCTCTCATTGGCAACACATGTAACTGCCAAATGAGCACACTCACTATCAGCTGGGCTGCCAGGTTCACCACCACCTGCTGCCACCAGATAGCAGTGACACAAGAAGGGTGGTCACAAGGAGCCATGTGATACAACTGTGAAAGGAGCCTTACTTCTAAGCTCTTACTTGAATTTGTTCCCGTATGAAATAAATATTAAAAACAGTAGAAAAAGAATAAATAAGCAGAATGGGAGAAACACCTTGGGTGCAAAGTGGTACTCAAAGAAGGTGCCTTGCAAGCTTTGCCTAAAATTGATTGATGAGAATCCCCCCAACATTTCAAGAGACTGCCTGGTCCCACCAAGGTGATATCAAAGGGGCACCCTTTGCCTTCCCATATCACCCTCTTAAAAGAGAAATGTTTGAAGTAATTGGGGATATTTCCTTACACTCTGGTCCCTGACATCCTAATGCCAGTCATAAATGGTACAGTATCATTACTGCTTGTCATAATTCTGACTTGACCTCATTCCTGTGGCCTGTTAACCAAGAATGGAACCATTTGTCTAGATCTCCATTTCTCTCATAGTGGTCACTGTTGTCACAGTGACACTGACCTGAGACAAGTAAAACTGACCTGTCACTGATGTGACTGACTGACCCGAGGCAGGTAAAACTGACCTGTCTCACCAAGCAGTTCCTCTCATTCAATTTGTGCAATTCGATATGCTTTTGGTGATCATAACCAATAATAATAATAATGGTAGTTGTTAATACAGGCTAATAATAATAATGCAGTACACTATTAGTGATAATGATGTTAATGCAAGATAATGAAAATATTACTGATATTGTATTCCAAAAGTTTTCTAATTCTTGTTACTCTTTTTATCACCAGATGTAAACCGACCTTGTGGATGCTTCTTTGAGAGAGATATCATATCTGGTGTAGATCATTTAATATCCTCCCTGCATATGGTAGAAGGATCAACTGAACTACTTGTTTCATGTCTCATCAAAAAGGGATATGGTGGGTTTAAAATGTACTTTTTATTTATACATCTGTTTTGAATGAAGCTCCATTGAAAAGTACATTCACAAGTTGTTATGGCTTTGCATTACAGAATTGAGGGCTACAAGTAATTTTAATAAGGTTGTATATCTGTTGTTTATAATATTATATAAAGGGCAGTGTATGTGTAGGTGCTTGATTATTGTAATAATTTAATCTTTTTAAAGCAGATACTGTTGTATATCAATAATATTCAAATATAATACTACCACATGGATTATGGCATATCTATATACATATTTATAAATATTTAATGGTATAGGTTTTCTTAATACTTTCTTGATCAGAAGCATAATAACCCTTCATATGCTCTAAAATTGTAGCTTTGTCTTCATTAGTGGTGCTGATTGTTGGGTGGCTTGCTCCATATACATGGAGCAAGCCACCCAACACTGTGCAATACACTGTGTTAGTATTTCTTCTTCCAGTGAATGCCTTATGTCTACTTTTGTGTTCAGTGATGTAACTATTCTACATCTTTCCCTGATGTGCCACCACCAACACTTCCTTTTATCAACCATGATTAAGGCTATTTTGACTATAAAAAGAATAATTGATCTGATTCCACACTACTTTTGAATATCATAGTGCCATACTGTGTATCAATAAATTCATTAAATGTGGAGATTTGATTTGATTTGAAACGTAACTTTTCAGAAAATCCCAAAGTGGCTTCAGAATGGATCCGTGTGTTGGCTGGAAGTATTCTCGGAATTAGTGTATTCTATGATCAAAGTACAACCTGCAGGAGACACACTTTCAATCTTGATACAACTCTCTATGTAAAATGGCAACCAATTCTCTTGGAGTTGCTAGAAGTGGAGGCAGAATGGGCTACAGATATTGCTACTAGGTAAGTTAGTTAAAATTGCTTCAGTAGTGAAACCATTAATTCACTCAAGTTGTATTTTAGCTTTTACCTAACATGTTAAAAATAAATATAATATATATATATATATATATATATATATATATATATATATATATATATATATATATATATATATATATATATATATATATTATATATATATATATATATATACACATACACATACACATACACACACACACGTACATACACACACACACATATACAGCGGTATGCCACCAGGCTCGTCCCAGAACTGAGAGGAATGAGCTACGAGGAAAGGCTAAAGGAGCTGAACCTCACATCCATGGAAAACAGAAGAGTAAGGGAAGACATGATAACCACCTACAAAATTCTCAGGGGAATTGACAGGGTGGATAAAGACAAACTCTTCAGCATGGGTGGGACACGAACAAGGGAACACAGGTGGAAACTTAGTACCCAGATGAGCCACAGAGACGTTAGAAAGAATTTTTTCAGTGTCAGAGTAGTTAATAAATGGAATGCACTAGGAAGTGATGTGGTGGAGGCTGACTCCATGCACAGTTTCAAATGTAGATATGATAGAGCCCAGTAGGCTCAGGAATCTGTACACCAGTTGATTGACAGTTGAGAGGCGGGACCAAAGAGCCAAAGCTCAACCCTCGCAAGCACAATTAGGTGAATACATGCATACAGTACTTCATATGTATAGTATTTGACTGGGCTTTACCCAGGGATGCATTCCTGGGTACGTCACCTTTTACCAGTTCACTCGTTGTTTTGTTAACACTTGCACTGTGCTTGTACTGTACTTAGTACAACACCTCCTGATGTGGATTTTTTTTTTTTACTCCACAATATGAGGTCATCATTTGTTGACATCCTGGGCTATTGCAGTTATAATATGCACTTTCAGGATAACATTTCTTGGACTTCTACTGACCTAAACGTTGACCTCCATTAACGATAAAAATTTATAAAAATTTATAAAAACTTTGAAATAGAATATGATCTGTAAGAAATGACTTTACCTAATGTTCCAGATTTCAAAGTGGATCATTAGTGGATCATACTCCTCCAAAATCTAGATTTTTTCTAATACAGTAAATTCAAGATTTGGAGGGAAGTCCAGTAGCTGAATTTGATCTATTGTTTAGAAGGATCCGCTATAGAGAGGTTCGGATTTTGGAGGTCCCTTTGTAATTATATTTTATAAATTGGGGCTTCGTATAAATAGTCCACAAGTTGAGAAAGTTAAAGTAAATAAAATGTTTGCTTGTATTGGGTAGCATAACACATTATATGTACAATTTAAAATCACATTAACATATGTGTCGGGCACTAGGCCTCGTGTATTGTCCCCATAATGCAACTGTCGTTGATGCACTGCCTGCACTAAGCATCTTTTTTTTTTTTTTTTTTTTGCATTACCTATTTTGCAAGTCTCAAAGGTCTCCCTTTTCCAGTCTTTTTTTTTTTTTTTTTTTTTTTTTTTTTAATTATAAACATAACTATTTAATGTGACTTTAGGGCAATTATGAATATTGATTATACAGTATGTGATTATCCAAATATATTATAGATTACATTTATTCTACTGTCAAGTTATTTTAGGTAATCCATATTTTATTTATAGGTATTATAAGTAGTAATTAGTTATTATAATTGCTAATTAAATATCTTTTATATTCATTTTGGGTCATCATTAAAGATCATGTTGACTAATAATTATTATAGAGGATTCAAGTTCACATTTACTATATAGTTATGCACAATACTAATGATTGTGTTATTATAGATAATGAAATATGATTATAGATCATAACACTGTAGTAACTTTAAATTAAGATTTCTGATTATTATATTTTATTGTACACACACACATTTAAGGATGCTGCATGACTTAACATCCCGTTTTTGCAGAATCTTGAATTGTCCTACTGCAGGCTTCACTGAATCACAGAAAACGAGTATAATGGAGTTACTTCAGATTCTGAAAGGCACAAACATAGATGACTCTGAGCATGCAGAGAAATCACTGAACAATGTAAAGGATGGCGTCTACACCATTGATGATATTGCCGAGATTGCTCGGAAGCACTCTGAGAAAACACTGGCTAAGATGGAAAGATTTAAAAACTCTGTCGCCTTTCCTGGAGCAGGTAACGTCAAGTAACGTTAAATTTTATTTCGATATTCTGTAGGTACGTGACGGGTTGACCTCGGCTGCCCCATACCTTGGAGGAAAATAAAACAGGATAACCTTTCTTTCATAAATGGCCCGTTTTCTTTGGTTACACTCACATTATTATCAATTGGTGGTTTATGCCATTTTCACTTCCAACTTTACTTTTTTTTCTGTTATCTGTGTTACTGTTTCTTTTAATATTTCTACTTTCCCACTCTCACAGTGCTACCCAGGACCATTTGGTGGTGGTGGTCCAACTGCATATGAAGGTCTAAAATGCTCATTCAGAAAATTCTAAAACATACAGGCACTTGAAATGTCTAGAGATTATTCTAAATGCTGCCACCTCTTCAAGGATGGAGGAGATTTCAGTCAGGGGGAATATTGCTCATACATGCAGCCACTTTCCCTAAGTATAGAGAGTTTCCTAATGTGACAAAGGCATCAAACATACTGTTATATATCTTGTGAACTGTTTTTATATTCAGGCATGGCAGTTGGCAAGTGCTTATTTGGACCCCGCTTCCTTCCTATTTGGACCTGGTGGGATTAAATTTCTTTACATTCAATTTCTTTGTTACCATATATTTTCTCTGAAGATGTGGATGGAGGTGGCTTTCATCAACAACCATACTACTTTCAGTGCATTCCATTTCTTTACCTTACTATGCACAGGTGCTTTCTTACTTCTCTCTGGCTCATTTGCATTTCCAGTTTTCACTTTTTCCATTAATTTTAAAAGTATGTTCTTGTCCACCTTGTCTATTCCTTTCAATATATTGTACATTCTTTAGTGATGGTATCTCGTATCATTATGAGCATATGTGAGCATTTGTGTATGTGTAGTTACTGGATCAAAGATGCGCTTGTGGTGTTTTATCTTTATAATCTTTGCTATGTGACTTGAAGCTTCGATGATTATGTCCAACACTATTTCCTTGTGTATATTCTTATATTTCCAAAAGATAATCTTTTTACCAAATTTCTTATCCTTTGTTTTCTTAATTTGAATCTCGGATCTCTTGTCCTTGATGTGTAATACAGGGAAGATGACCCTAGACCTACATACCAGATTCTTCGTTTATACTCTTATTTGCCACTGTTGGCACCATTAATGTTATACAATACATTGTTATTTCATTAAAATTATTTGTCTTCTAATTCAAATAAAACTGAAATTACTTGGTTGAATTTTTTATACTACTTAACTGCATGTTTGCCCATGGAATTTTAGTTCATCAGTTTATGTATAACTTGTTTGCTTGATTTTGTCATTAAATTTTAAAATACTTTAGATTCGTATTGTTTCTCCATACAGTTGTGATGGACGTCGATGCTCCTTTGGGTGTCCTTGCTCATCAGAGAGAGAATCCAGTCTTCTACAAAGAACTGCTTCTTCCTAGTCCAGATACAGGAGGAAGTCCTATGGCCAAAAGACGCAAAACATGAACCTTTCGGATACTGTACATGAAATCTATTAAATTGAAAGTACCATATTTTGAAGGATATTGTTCAAGACCATTGAAGGGCCATTGTGTTAATTTTCTTTAGTATGCAGTTTGCATAGAAAAATTAAAGATGTTTATGGAAAATATGATTGCTTTGATCCAACAAATCATTCCCTGGGAAAAGGGGAGTGAAGGTACATAATTAGCAAGAAAAATTAAGGATTAATAAAGCACGTGTAAGTTGCTTGAGTATTAATGGAGATGCACATAAAATTAGAATTACTTATTTGGAAACATCAGTGCTACTGTTTCCAACTTTGTTACACTAACCTCTGGAGTTTTCATAACTTAATCAGCAGACAAAACATTTATAAATATTAATATAAAAGTCATGTATTTAACCCGCCATCAGTGATGGTTTATTGTGAGGATTAAATCATTAGTTTTCCTGCTATATATATATATATATATATATATAGAGCACTATAAACTGTATCAAAATTTACACATTAGTAACTTATCTTGCATTTATATACAAGTCCAAGCATGTTGTGATTTTATCACTTACATGATATCCAAATCGATGTGTTTAATTTTTTTTTGCTTCTGCAGAACTATTGTGCATTTAACATTTACACTGTGGGTGCTGCCTTGCGTCGCAGTGACTGCCCTCTTATCTTGCTTGTTGAGATGGCATAAGTGCCAAGGCCTCTGACGTTACTTTGGTAGGTGGTATCTCATGGCTCAAGGGTACATTCTCTTTATTCACACTTTTATGGCATATTAATTACTACTGATCTCAATCTCCATTGCAGCTTGGTTTATTTTGTTGATGCAAACATTATTTTCCATCTCAGACAATCTGCTGCACACTGCACACATCACTGAAGCTCTCTTATCCCTTAAAGTGCGGTTATCATCCTATGACGATCCCAAAACGTAATAAGGTTATCATTTTATGTTGAGTTTGGTTAATATTGTCTGGTTTTATACAAATGATGTAAATATGGATATAACACATCTATGTGGATGTAACAGACTTAACCTTGACCTGTGGAAAAAATTCAGCTATCGTTTTTATTGCTTACTATCGATACAGATGCTTTGTACCATAAGCACAGCAATTGATATCACGCTACATCACGTTCACAATGCTTCTTCAGACTTCCCCCAAATACTCTAGCCAGAAATGTATATGCCTTCATCAGAATGGGTTTTTTGATACTTGGCACTTACCGCCTCATTTTGAGGAAGGCTGGTTGTTTAACAGCCTGGATGCCAAGTGGTTACTCTTTATGCCATCTGGCTACACCTGCAGTTTTTTCTGTTCCAGCTTTTGTTGATCTTATGTACAGAGTCCTTCACTGCTCGAGAACCAGAACAAAGCCTACACTTGGGTGTATGCCAGCAATCCTTAGCTTTGTGTCGATAGCCATAGCACACTCCATAGGGCTGCTACAAACTCCAAATGGTTTGGTGCCGCCTTTTGATATTTATTCTATAGGGTTTGTATACCACTCCTTGAACCCACTTGGGGAGCATATGACCTGGCAAATCAATACTAGTCTGGTGGTTCAGGTTTGATCCAGAGTAAGGTAAACCTATTAAGAAAAATAATCAATCTTTTTATATTCATATTCTGTACTTTCTGTATCTCATAGATCGAGCGTAGTGAATATTCTTGATAGTGATAAGGATATTCTTAAATGTTCTTGTTTCTTGATGGATTGTCTTGAAGGGAGAGCTGTACACCACCTTTGTTTCCCTAAAGTAGTTCATCCATAATATGCCAAACTTTTCTTGAATTGTACATGTGGGGAGTTGACATGTAGGTGTATCAGGTCAACAGTACCTGGTTTGCAATGGTGGTTCAGCATCTTGCTTTGACAAAATCTTCGATGCTACAGTTGTGCCATTAGAAAAAGCCAGATGTGTATACTCTTTGATGCTACTGGATGGTGTCCATCAGTTTTGCTGTGTTCCTGCTGTTCATGTAACATTTTGTTTAATATATGAACAGAGTTAAAATTACCTACCATACTCGGTGCGTGAAAGCATTGAGTAGACCTCGGCACCGTGTGAAATTTCAAACTAAGTTGTCTATATTCTCTACTTGCTAGCAAACTCTGATCAAAATGCTAAATATGTACCCAACTCAAAGATCAATTAATCCATGGGATAACTGGGTCCAATCAGTAGATTTTATGAATACAGTACACCAAATTTAGTGAACATGCTGCTGCATTATTAAAAGACAATTGGCAGTGGAATTATATACTGTGACTTGCAAAGCACTCCTGGCAATGAAGATATGTAGTAATAACATCTAGAAAATAGTGATATTTATTTAAATGTATTTATTTTGGCTGCTAAAGAAAATAGATTGGAGATTAAATTGTATTGGATTCTGTCACTTGTAGGGATTTCAATTAAATCAATGTTTTATTAACAGTAAGAGAGAACCCATCCTCCTGACATTATAGTATCTTTAGCAACTATTTTGTAATGCATATAAGAAAAGGCAAAACCAAGCATAAACATTCCTGGGCCTAGTATAGCACATATATGTACCCAAGGTTTGCTAGGCCTAAGATAGTATAGTACTATACTGGCTCTCAAACATTCATGTTTTCTACATGTGAGTCACTTGATTAATTTAGATTCAAATGTTATAGTATACCATTTTCTATCTGTTGTGGCAACTCAAGAGGATGGGGTGGACAAAAATATATACAGTATAAAAGTATATGATTGTAATTTGCCTTCGTAAATGAACCCAATTACATCGTTATTCAGTATTTGATAACCAACTGTACTGTATGAAGAACATATCTCTCTTGCCCTGCTTATGGAGGACAGAAGGGATTTTTACATATGCTGGTTAGCATTGTCAAAATTAATGGATGCATCTGTCATGGGAAATAAACTTAAAAAGAAAAAAATTATTCTTAACACTATTTCATCTGTATACAGTATTTGAAAATAAGTAGTATATTGTCAGTCTATATCTCTCTTCTCGTCTTCCAATTTCTCTTGTTGATTTTAAGCTCTCTTTACGTGTTTTACCTGAACTTTTATCTTTATCCTCCCTTTGCCTTTGCCTGTTAAATAATGGTGTGCCTACTCATATTGTCTCTGGCACTAACACTACCTGTACCTTCTTTATTGATCTTTAACTTTGCTCCTTTTCTGTCTCTAACCTGAATAGGCGAATCCTTGACAACCTCCATAATGGCAATCATTTCCCCACCTTGTCTGTTTCATATACCCCTCAGTCCATTCAATTGAACTGGTCAGTACAACAGCATTGTATCTTATAGGGTCATGGATTGGTACCATTCCTTTCCTTTTCCTCATATCCGAGCTCCTTGTCCTTATATCCCTTTCCAGTGCTGTATGGTTGTATTGGCTTAGTGCTTTCTCATAATTATCTTATCCTCTTTTCTCCACCCCAGTGGCATTTTGACAAGAGCTGACTGGAGCTGCTTCACCACCTTATCTTTATTCCCCGCTCATCACTACTGTATTTATATCCCTTGCTTCCATTGCCTTACATACCATGATATGCCTCCTGCAGCCCAAAGAAGTGCGTTTCTTCACTCCAGCAACACCCGCTCCGCCGCACCTTAATAATGGACACCATTATTTGAAATAATTGACACGGACAAAAAAGTCCAAGTGGGAGTACCATCTCCCCACTATCTTAAATCCTACAGCCAGGATAACTTCCTACTCTAGGCTCTCCTGCAAGCTCTACAGACAGCATCGCTGTGTCTACAAGCAGCAAGACGATGTCCTAGGGAGGACATTGACCCATCCATCTACAGATCTACAGTATCAGCTATTGGTAATGGTCCCTAACAGCCAACACTTACGGGCTATTTATGCCTGTGCCACCTCTTGGGTAGTCTTAATTTTCTTCAATCACCTGCTCCTTCCTTTCCCGTTCCTCTGCCGCCAGCTGCAACACTTAGCTCCAGCAGCCTTTCTCCTACTCACTTGCCCGCCCCACTTGACCTTTATCTAGTCAAAGCCTTAATTCTACAAATTTATTTTCATCCAGTTTATTATCAATTTATTATTTTATTTAGCTATATTTACATTGTTAATTCAATAAAAATTATTTATAATCCCACTCCGGCGTTTCGCACAAACCTCCGAAATTTAAAATATTTTTACCCTGAAACAAAATATGTGCATAGATGATTGGTTACCCTACTTGAGTAATTCTCGGATGCTATCCTATTTATTAGTGTATTAAACAGTGTGGAACTTAGCACTGTTTCTTGAAAACTTGTGCGGAGCTGAAGAGATCTTACTTATAACCCTGGAAAAGCTTCAAAAAGCTCGAAGATGCCATAAATTTTTAATGAGAGCTTGCAAAGAGTTTTCATTCATAGTCATGCTAAATCTTTGAGAGAGAACCGGTTATCTAGCCACACGCGGCCACCATTTTCAGAAATTCTATTAGTTCTAGCTGAACAATTTAAACTTTGGGAATTTGACAACCGGTATTGGTGCCTTCTGATAATTACTTACTTGAGAACCGGTAGCGTCTACTATTAACCGCTGACTGGGCCAACATGTGTGAGTGACAAATTCCAACATCTGGATGGTCATTCTGGATGAAAGCAGCAACTGTCAAGAATGCTGCTGAAGAGGCCCATACTGACTGACTTAAAGTTCACATTGAAAATATACAGCTTACAAATCAGTAGTGCCGTGGTTGAAAGGGTATTTCGAGAGTAATGCCTGTAAATACAAAATTGAGAAATCGAATGGGACTAGAGCTTTTGACATCAATCTTGAGGATCAAAATATATCTTTGAGAAAATGGGACTTGCTGCTCACATATCGACTATGCCAAAATATTATTTTTTAATATACTGGTATGAGATTGTGGATGCAGAACACCTTCGTTTAGTGTTAAGATTAATGCCTATCAACCTCTAAAGGTTTATGAAGGCAACCACAATCAAGTGCTTCTGGAGACAGTCCAGACCCAAAGTCAACTATCAGTGTATGTACACCAATCGCGAAGCGGGGACGCACACCTCTCCCTGTTGATTATCTTCAACTGTGAAGAGGTGGAGGGACCCCACATCCATAATTATGCATCAAATAGCAAATACTGTATTTAATTGTAAGTTATCCTAATTATCGCATTTTTATTAAAATATATTACTCAGTAAACTGTATCAACGCGCTTAACGAAATATATTGCGCTACTTTTATTACAAATTCGGTACTTTTAGTCCTTCAAGTCGCTACTTTCAGCAATTCAGGTCTGGCAACCCTGAGGTAACATTGAGAAGTCGCCAAGATGGTGAAGGGTGGAGGACTGCGTCATGTCTCTCCAACCGAAAACCACAGTGTCTCTAAGGAATCAGACAAACCACCTACACATGGCAGGCACAAGGATGACGCTGATCATTCGCCCTCTGAAGAGGAGGATAAAGTGACTGCTTTCACAGAGAAAACGAGTGGAGGCGAAACACCGCCGCCCCGAAGAGGTAAATAAAACTCCCTCCCGGCCAAAAGACCTCGCGCTGCTTCCCTCTCAACCAAGGTAGGCAAATTTCTCCTATTCTGGAAACTTATATGATTTCCTTTGCACACAGTACAGCCATGGATGGGAGTGCTCTTGATGATAAGAGAAGACAGCATGAAATTTCCATGATATTTAGTATTAGAGTACATATATACCAGAGGGCCACAGTCTAGTAGCCTCTACGAGGACAGGAAGCAAGCGGAAGCAAGATTCTCGAAGATCCCTTTCTCCCCATTTGTCCTAATGATGTTATCAAACTGTATTTTGAATTGTAGTAGTGTTTTGCCATTTAAGGCTTTGGCGGGTTGGTCATTCCATGGGGTTTTATAACACCCATGATTGAAAGTGCATCTGTTTTCTGTCCTTCATTGTAACGTATTGAGTTTGAAGCCGTTGCTCTTTGTCTAATACATTGTGCAATTGGTTGGTTGGATATTTTGATGAAGTGGTCTGGATCAATATTCTCCAATTTGTTCAGTATTTTAAAAGTTTCGATGAGATTAGCCCTGTCACAGCCCGTCCTCCTAAGGTTTCCCCACCTAAAGTCAAGAAACTGTCATACTAAAGTGCCTTTATCCTAACCTACCAGAGCACCCAAAACAGAAAACAGGACAGTATGTCAATTTCGCGAGCCGCTTCCATTTTGCAGTACGACAATTTTTGGCATTAGGTAGAGTATACGTCAAAATGCGACGCTCTATTAGGAGGACGGGTTGCTGTCATGTCTGGTATGCAGTGTTCTTTTCCCTGTGGCCCTCAATCGTTCCTGGTAGTAATGCCAGATAAAAGTGTATGAGATGCACACGAAAAAAATGGTAAAATCCTTGAAAAATCATGGCTCAATTTTTTTTTTATCCAAAACAATTAAAAATTTATATAAATTTCCAACTGCAAAATTGTCACAAATAAGTTATAGAAATAAGGTTTGTAATTTTTAAAGATAAGTATAAAGTAGTGAAGAGGATGTGCTCAGGCGCGATGTTTGTCATTACACCATGAGTGGACGGCCTGCTCATGTTCTCTCAGCAACACACACGAGCTACGAGCTCATGTGCTGGACAAAGACCCCTGGGTGAAGGGAATCATATGTCTTGGGATAACATAGGAGATGGTTTTGCTGCTGTGTGACGGGTGATAAATGATTGTTAGTGTGGCCAGTATAATGGTTACCAGCCTTCGTCCTCCTGCTCCTTATTCTTTTCTCTATCCTCTTTCCCTTCTCCTATCCAACTCCCGTTTGTTGGTAATTTCTTACGGCGTCTTATTTTGATATGAATATAACATTTTATTTTTTATAATGCACTTTATGTGGTCTCTCAAAATTCCTATAGTGTTTTTAATCTACATATATCTACCAATATTGGTGCCTTTTCACCAGTGACCATATTATTTGTGATGACAATGTCTACATTTGTCCAGTACATAAATTAACATATTGATGTGTCTAGATTCGTACATGATTGAACGAACAAATATTGCATATACCTAAGTGCCATCTGCTTTTCTGAAGTAGCTGGATTGTTGCTGGCCGTTTGCGTCAACTGTTGTTCCTGTCTGGGGCAGCGGCTCCTTCATTAGCGGCGCCACTACGGCACTGGCAGAGCGCTTCTATAATTCTATATATAAATATCGAATTATAAAAAAAAGCCAAAAATTGTCGTACAAGAAAATGGAAGCGGTTCGTGAAAGTGACGTACTGTCCCGTTTTCCGTTTTGGGTCCTCTGGTAGGTTAGGAGAGAACACTTTAAATTGACCGTATTTTTGACGTTGGGAAACCTTAGGAGGACGGGCTGCTGGGGTACGGGACAGAAATAGGCTGTTTGGGGTCCCCAAAATTCAAAAGGAAACAGGATGCCACAACGTGCAGGCGATAAGTCACAATAACGTGGATCATTGTCGTCCCTTCACCTTCTAGTGTGTGGTCTGCCACAATGTCAAACTGTTCCTCACAACGATTTTTGGCACTGGGTTATCTTGAGATGATTTCTGGACCTTAGCGTCACCGCGGCCCCAAAATCATGCAGATAACCGCGGCCCGGTCCTCGACCAGGCCTCCTTTTTGCTACACATCCCCAGGAAGTAGTCCGTAGCAGCTGTCTAACTCCCAGGTACCTATTTATTGCTAGGTGAACAGGTACATCAAAGTGAAAGAATCTTTGCCCATTTGTTTCCACCACCACCGGGGATCGAAC